CTCTTTTTAATAACAAAAATACTCTTACTCATTTTATTTCCATAGTATAAATAAGTGAACAACTATAGTAATTTTTACAATTCACAACCATTTCTAAATATAACCTATAAAATTTCACAGAGGGTTAACTACACACAAAAACCACGTATTTGTCCCACTTACACTTACTTTTAAAATTAGAACTTCATTTTCGCATTAGGATTGGGGAGTCACCTAAAAATTATAATTTTATCTTTATTGGTGGAACTATGGTTTGGTGCTTCAGTCGACTGCCTGATGCACAATGTATTTGTTGTTATTGTTGTTGTTTTGGTGGGGAAGTTGCATATATGTTGTACTGTATTTTTGTACCAGTGGCTCCTATGCAATATCTGATGTGTGCTACTTAAACAATGCACGCATTGTTGAAAACCAAACAAGAGTCTTCCTCTCATAACTAAAAAGATTAAAAAATATTTGGTAAGTCAGCTGACTCACCTGTTATGTGATCCCCATCTAAAATTTATCTCATTTTCGATCTAAAATTTTAGAGTTGTTAATATCAATTATAATGATGATCATGAATCCAAATTTTCTTTACTTGGAAAATATAAGTAATGTTTTTCAAATTTCTTTTTCCAGCATCCATTTTAACTTTTACTGCCACATTTTGATGTCCATATTAGAGATGGACGTTTGACGCATAAGGGACCGCACATAATATGTGAGTCGGCTGACTCACCAAATCCACGTCCATAATATTTGACTTTAATTGAAATGAGAGGAATACTTTCTGGTAATACTTGTGTTATGTCTATTAATTGTGAAGTGTGACCTTTTGCATCTCCTCAAAACCCCTTGCAATCTTGCAAATCCATGTGATAATTTGACTCTTAAGGCCATCTAGTCTACCCCCTATTTCCTGGTATTCCTTGCCTTGATGCATCTCAACTGTTGGCCATTTTATGGAAAACTTGGTACTGATGCTGCTGATTTTTGTCCCCTTTAGTGCAGGTTATGCCTTTACGATGTCTCCCACTCCTTATTTTCCTCAATCCAGTGGCAGTTCCCTTCTTTCTGTTTCTAATATCTCCTAAATGGTCTTAGTCTTAACACTTTCATATTGGTGAAGGATTTATGGGGCATTGGCAGTAGTACCCACAAGCCATATGATGAAGTCTCTAACTTCATTATCACCCAAAGGCCGGGGCTCAAATCCCACTTACTTACCATTTTTTTAGAATGGCCTGGGGCTTTGGCGGTAGTATTGCCAAGCCTCATGATGGGATCTCTGGCTCCATTCTCGTCAATGGGTAGAGACCCAAATCCCCACTGACTTGCCCATTTTTTGACTTACCCAAAATTTAAAAAAAAGACTTCGGGGTACACTTTCAATTGCTCCTTAGTGTACTGGAGCTTTCTTCCTATCCTATCAGCTTTACTTGACCCGCACCAGTCCTTAAGCCTCACATTTTCAGACCTATATTGAGATGAGAACTTCCCTTCTTACTTTCTTATTCTCAATTAATATGATCACCACCAATTGGTTAAAAAAGGCCTTTCACCACTCCTTCCATATATCTCCTAACTTGAATTCCTAAATCATCAACATCCCTCAATTCTGTGTCACATAACAAAGTTGTGGACTTCTGATCTTCAGGTCTTCATAGGGTTCACTTATGATGTACTAGTACTTAGTCTCCTACAGTTGTTGAGCGCATGAGAGGGGGAATGATAAACGCTAACCATCCTTTGTTGGGTGGCTGTTGAGGGCCTAGATACATAAAAGAAACCCAAAATGCAAGCATGGATTCCCTATTCATGGAGATAGATTTATCGAAATTCCTCTTATGCTCCCGCCGCTGCTTTTATCTCTTCATCTGTGTTCCTTAGACTTCTTATGGTTGTCAGGGGAAATGTTTAACCTCTTGTTTTTCGTGCTCAACAGTGCATTTGTAATGAGCTTATCGCAGGCCGAAACACAGCTAGACTGAGGAAGACGAAGAAATCTCAGGCTCTTCAAAGCGATGCCGCATCTTAAGTGTCGATAGCATGCTGGTCTTTGTAAATACACCAGTTTGTGGAACTTTTCAAGAGGTCCTCCACTACGATACACTTTTTTTTTTTCCATACCTAAATTGTTGGAGTCTATTAACAGGTTTTCTTCAACGTGCATTCGGAAACTTATTATTTAACATATTTTCTTGGAATAACAGTCAAGAAAGGAAATGAGTTTTCCTTTGGATTTCGGGGAAATGATAGTTTCTTCTGTGTGATCTCGAGTAGTAAAATTAAGAATTCAAAATAATTTAACTGGGGTTGCTTATGCTTCAACTGAAAGTTTAAAAAACTGGCAAATAATGTGATTAACAAAATTTAAGCAAAAAGAATCAAATTTAACGCTATGTTGTACAAGAGTAAAGAGCACTTAAGGGAAAGTATCTTTTAAGAAAAAGAAAAGACAATGGTTGTGTGTAGTATATTAGAATTCAACCTGATTTCCACCCTCCAACCCATTTATTGGTCGGATCCTAGGATATGTAAAACTTGTATTTGATTCATATCTTGAGTACACAAATCCTAGGAGGATGTTGGGAAAATGCTGTTTGGTAAGCATCTATTTGGATATTAAAACTTGGATTTGCTGGTTTCATGTCGAAATAGGTTTATCATTCACTACAAATTGTTTTCATTAGATAATGATATTTGCCCAATAAGGACTTCTTTTTTTCAAATATAGTCCATCCATAATTGATGTACCCCTCCTTCCCTCTTACATTATCGGCCGATTTGATAACTGGAGGTAAGAACCTGAATTGAAAATTGGAAGTTACTGATGAATTATAAATCAGTAGTTCCTGAAGAAGTTTTTGGTTATAACATCCTTGAAAAGTTAAGAAGTTCCTACTTTCCAACTGAGAAGTTAAGAAGTTTCTGGTTTCTGTGTTTGATAACCTCTTGGGAAGTTAAAAAATAACTGCCTATTAGCTTAAGTAATAGGCAAGATGTAAATGTTAAAATTGAGACATAGATATTATTTATTTTTTATTAATTTGTAAAATATTATTTTTTAGAATACAATATCAATTGAAAGTAAAGTACAATATTATTTTTCTGTAATAACTTGAGCACTACTTATATTCACCACTTATGCCCATATCCCAACCTAAAAAATATAGGTTATACACAATTCAAAAATATATGTCATTCAACAATGTAAAAAGTTCATATAAGGATGCAACTTTATAATGTAGAACAGCGGATGCACGTCAAAAATCCATCGAAAAAGGTCGTTTTAATGTTGAAAAACCCTTTGATTGATCATCTCGACTTCGACATGTATGATCATGAAAAATAAAAATATTTTAATTCTCAAAAATAGTGCATTTTACAACATATTATCCACCCCGTCCATTTTCAAGATTTTCATATGTTTATAGATCTACTTGATTTTAACCATTTTGAAATTTAAAATTTTATAATTAGAAATAAAAATAGTTTTTGAGATAATCCTAAGAACATTTTACATCAAAATTATATACTTTATAAAATTTGAAGGTGCACCTTACCGCTACACCTACATATGCATCCGTATGCCAACTGCACCCTTCAAGCAATAGTTTAAACATACATAATTAAAAATACAAGCACTAAGAAATCAACCCATTCAAACACATATGCACAATGTAAACAGTAAAAAATCAGCCCATTCAACAATCACGTGTAATAACTTGAGCACTACTTACCTTCACCACTCATGCATCTATATCCCAAACTAAAAAATATACATCATTCAACAATAAACCAACATTGTTTGTCCCTTAAAACATTCGTGTTCTCTCTCTAAGATTATAATGGCAAACATTGGTCCCTTAATTTTGATCTTAAAACATTCGTGTTCTCTCTCTAAGATTATAATGGCAATCATTGGTCCCATAATTTTGATGGGAACTCATTTGACCGCACGAGGAACCAGGTCTGGACCTAGTAAGGAACCATACCAATGCAACACTGCTTAATTTCTTGGTTCATTGCCTAATTGCTACAGAATGAAGCGAAGTCACAAGTAATGTTGCCAGGCACCGGGCTTCTCTAGGGGTGGGAATGGGTCTATATGTTTCAGGTCGTCCAAATCAATTGGATCCAGACCTGGCCAATTGGGTCGGGTTAGGTCTGGGTCTATAAATTAAGAAAAATAACAACTATTTACATATTTTATACCATATAATTAACATTATGTATATATGTTTTATTTTATATAAGAAAAATAACAACTATTTACATATTTTATACCATATAATTAACATTATGTGTTTTATTTTATGCAAATATAAAGCAGGCTAGCCCCGACAGGACCTAACCTAGCTCAGTAGGATCCAACCGAGACCTAGATGTGAACCCCACCCAAGTAAGGTCAAGGTCAAGTACATGTGAACTTCACCCGGATAAGGTCAAGGTCAAGTAGACCCAAGCTCGGCCCGTCGATTCATTGTTTGGGTACCCAGAACCAGTTAGGTCGATCCATCGAGTCCACAAGTTGACCCAACCAAATTCCTCCCTCTGGGCTTCTCGAACCACAAACATAGCAAAAGGGGAATTATTGCAACATCATTCGTTGAGCCACATCCACAAAAGTCCTGCCTAATGAAGAACCTGTTTTGATGAACCATGAGATCAAACGAGAGGGCTGGCCGTGCAACTAACCCGCCTATTAACAGGAAGCTAATAGCAAGGCCGGCACCTTCTTTAAAAACAGGATTCAATTGAACTGAGCCCACTGCAAGTCAAAACGCTTTTTGAAATTTTGAAAAGTCCGTTGTATAGAGAGCTCAATTTTGTATACAATAAAGAACAGATATACATGTAATGGCTGAATTTCGTATATGATGAAAACAGATATACATGTAATTCTTTTTTACACACTGCAGTAGATACTGAGCAATTGCTTCCACCTCAACTTGCGATTCATAGGCTGACCTGCCACCTTTGCCAAGTAGAGTACAACCTAGGTACAACCATGGTAAACAAATTTCAACCCCATTCCTAAGATTGAACATTGTAGCATAGAATATGAAATATGAACTATACCAAGAAAAAGTGAAATAAGTATTCTATCATGTGGCCTCTCACCACTTCTATCATGAAGTGGAACGGGTAGAATTCCTGATACTACGCGAACCGAAAAAAACAGAGGGGGTAGAATCATGATAATGCAAAAATACACAATTAACCAAGAAAATCCAAGTTGTGAGCGTGCATGGTCAGCTCTTTCTGACTTCTCTCCCGTAACATCGAACATGAAATCCCAAAAATTGATGGTAAGCAAGAAGAACCCAAGATTACACTCGCATAGTTTCAACTCCATCCACCTCACCAGGAACCTCATAGAAGATGAACTGGTTCTGATACTCCACTAGGTACTGGGTCGATCTCTTCACATCAAGGAAAAGTTGGTAAACCCTACTGATATCTTCCAACTCCACGAGCTTTCCCTTACATTTTTGGAAAGCGAGCGCAGCAGCTGTTATCGAGAATTTTTCGAATCTCTTCTTCAGTGTAAGGTTGGGTGGAGATGATTAGGAGTCGATCGAGAAGGTCTATCGGGATTCCATGTGGGGACTTGTAGTTTATGCCTCGAACTCTCGTAATGCCTTGGTCCGTGGCCTTCACCAAGATAGGGGCCATCTCATTCTCTAATACCCGGTTGAGGAACGAGAAACACTCAATGTCAAGCATATGGACTTCATCAATGAAGAGGACCCCTGGCACAATCTCAGCTTTGCGTTCCTCTCTCCACTCTGCCACTTTAGTGTCAATCTGTTCCATGACTTCTGCTCGGATCTCACCTGTGTCCCCAGTGAAGAGAGCAAGAAATCCTTGCATCCTGAAAATCAGGCATTCTTTTCAATATACTTGAGGGGGGAAGAGAGGGGAAAGGAATAGAAGGATACTAGGAATTGACCAATAATCTACAAGTAAAATGATATCCAATGACCAATGTTCAATCATGAATAGATATCCAATTAAATAAATTATTAGATACATCTGAAACCATAGCATGTATAGAACAGGTAAATTACAAAATAGTTGAACATACACCGACTTGCCAACCATTTATGGTATAAACATTCCATAGAGAACCTTTCAAACCACACTTGATGAGTCTCAAGTTATATGATAGTCAAGAAACACAAGTAAAACTAAAGACCTGGGGCATCAGCTATGTATAAAATGCGCTACTAGTTACCATGCTTTGAATGTGTGCACATTATTCTTTGAAAGATACTCTTGTTCAGTTTCAGAAGATTACTTGTCACCTTGTTCATCTAACCTGGAATCCAAAGGCCTTCAAGCATTCTTCCCAGGCTTCCACAATGAAGTAAAAAAGAACATCTCACTACAAGGGATGCAAAAGCTACACAAGTATCCTAATGCTTCATTCTAGAAGAAAAAGATAAATGCTTGGGCTCCCTAAGGAAGAATGATCTCTGCAACCTGTCATGTCAGACCAAGTAGAATAGTGAAATCATTTTGGAGGCATTTGCATCAGTTCCGCAACCGAGTGGGTCCCAATTAATCCTGCCTCACAGTGTTTGTAGCTAGGGGTTCACATCCCTTAGATATCTCTTCTTTCAGTGTTTGTAGCTTTTTATTGCTTATAAATGTATAAAATTCTTAATCAGTCAAAAACAAGTTACCCACTTCCAAGACATCTAAAAAAGAGATCCCCAGCAAAATTGCACCAAGTACATTCCACAAAACTAGAGGAGCTAATTGCAGGATAATGACAATATTTACCGAAAAATATGTCCCTCAACCCACAAGAAATTGGAGTACTAATTAAAAGATCGCTATTCACTTGTGATAGCTGGTGCCCATCTAGCAGGCATGAAATTGTCGAAGCTTCTTTCATTTTGGACAAGCAATCAAATAACCAATTTTCCAAAATTCTTTTCATTTGATTTTAGTTGGTGCAACATTTGAGATAACAGTAACATGATATGATGGCAATGAGAAATCATTCCAAACTGGTGACACAAAAATGAAAGACTAGTGATTTTTCATGAAATTTCACACCCATAGGAGAAGTTATTGAAATAAACTCTCAGTGGTACGCAGCCATGCTTCTAAGAATAGAAGGCGACAACTATCTCAAACATCACAGCCATTTCAAACAATGGCAACTAGCCCATTACTGAATTACGGAAAGTCATGCTTTTTTTGTGTAGATTGGAAAAAAAATTTGTTTAATATAGAAAAAAGTACAACATAAGGGAAAATATAAACTACAGAAAGAGATGTCATGGTAGCATCTCCTCAATGATCCAGCAAAAAACCCCATCAAAGTGATACAAATTTTGTTAGTATAGAAAGCAGTCCAGCTAATTGTTTTTATTCTTTTGATTGGTCAGTCATCTCACCGGGAAGCAAGTGAACCAATTTGCACAGAGTAATTCAAATACAGCATCATCCCCCCGCCCCCCCCACACACACAAAAAAGAGGCAAAAACGAACACAGCCCAAAAAAACAACAGTTCACAAGGGGCAGAGCTAGTGTCTCTTGGGCACAGAATAAGGGGCAAGGAAAAATCTTTTCACGGACAAAATACCTTTCCAAGACAATTAGATTTTTCACACAATATTTAACCAATCATGTGAAGAGAAGTAGAATATTTCTTCACAAGAAGGATTCACTGGCATCTATAAAGAACAAAATCCATATTATATATAAGTAAATCTGTAACACGCTACATCCTTTATAGAAATCCTCAAGCCAAAGCATTTTTATTGTTATCTAGTCATGGACAGCACTTCCAAAACATCTTATTCGAACCCGACATGAGCAGTCTAAAAAAAATTCATAAGGAACTAGAATGAACTATGACGTTAAGAAACATAAGGAAATATCTGAAAAAAGAAGAGCAAAGAAAGACAAATACAATAACAAGTCAAAAATTTATAACAAATGACACCATATAGTTTGGCTAACTGCATGTTTATCTTGACCAAAAATTTATAACAAATAACCACCCTGAGAGCTGTCACGGGGCTGGAGGTTTGTGTCAAGGCCCAGGCCTCGGATGTGGGAGTGGCACCTACACGCTCGATTCGGGTCAGGTCTTTGCTTTCGGAGAGCTTCAGCTCAGCCATGGTTTCTCCCTCTGAGTAAATCAGAAGCCCAAGTAGGGAAAACCCTCTCTCTCTAGAAGAGAAGCCCTAGACAGTCTCTCTCTACGTGAGTGGAGCGCGAACCTCTCTATATATCAAAGCAATTTCAATAAATACTTGGAACAAATATATCAAATTTCATGAACCCACATCATAGCTGTATATCAAAGGAATTTTAAAGTCTTGTAGCAAAGCAATTTCAATAAATACTTGGAACAAATGAAACCATTGAGTGAAGAAAATCAAATGCTGGTAATTCATGCATTTCTTCTTTGCATAAAAAGATATAAACAAACTCACATCATAGCTGTGTATTATAGAAAAAATATACAGATTTCATGAACCCACATCATAGCTGTCTATCAAAGCAATTTAAAAAAAAAAAAAGCAAAGCAGTTTCAATAAATACTTGGAACAAATGAAACCATTGAGTGAAGAACAAATTCAGGAATGAAAACAAGCAAGCTCGTAAGCCATAGTAACTAAACTTCACAGGTTTTCAGAAAACTAAGAAAGAAAGGAGCCCATTAATCTATGTTCTTCAAAGAAATGCACCAACCGTGATTTATAAAAATGAATAAGAAAGAAAAAAATATGACGAAAGTGAACAACAAGAACCTCTAATCACCCAGTACAACCACTTTTCCCCTTTAACACATGAACCAACAAATGAACCACCTATGCATAAACCCAACTGTTGGAAACCACCAACATTTCAGCCAAGCCCCAAAATGACCAATTTTCCCTCTCCTAACTCCCAACATGTACCAAACAGAAAGAGAAAACACAAAAGCATGCACCAAATACGAAATCCCTACTAATGTCAAAAAAAAAACTAAAGGGAATTCCGAACCCCTGCTGAACACAACACTACCCCACATGTACCAAACAGAAAAGAGAACACAAAAGCATGCACCAAGAATATGAAATCCCTACTCATGTCTCAAACAAAAAAGGGAATTCCAAACCCATGCTGAACACAATACTACCCCACAACATGTACCAAACAGAAAGAGAACACAAAAGCATGCACCAAGAATACGAAATCCCTACTCATGTCAAAAAAAAAAAACAAAAAAGAAAGAATTCCAACCCCTGCTGAACACAATACTGAAAAACAAGTAATCCAACTCAAGAGGCCAAAAACTTCAGTAAGCACATTAATGATGTAGTAGAGAGTAGATAGTATAATAGTGCAATATAGGTCAAAATTATTCTTTTTTAATCGATGATCAGCACAGCCCATGAAACTTCTAGGAGTTTTTTAAGCGAGACAACGCTACCCTTCACGATTCATTCAAACAAATCAAATTCAAGCAAAATTTCAAACACCATTCTCTTACAAAAATCAGGACTAAGACCAATGTCTCCATATTCAAATAAACAGAGCCGTGTGAACAAAAACCCTAGCTGAGTAACCCAAAATGAGAACAAAAACCCTTGCAACTCAGAAAAATCTTAATCAACTCATCAAAGTCTATACTGAGTAACCCAATGAGCCCAATAAACACAAAAAAATAGGAACATGTGCAAAAAATCTGTAAAATCAGAAAAAAAGCCAGAAAGAGAATAAACTGATCATATAGAAAAAAAATTGTGGGATCCATTTTCACCATGTTCGAAACCTACTGAAAAGCTAAAAAAACCATACAGAAAAAAACAGAGAGCAAAAAAAAAACAGGGGAGAGAGAAAACACTGAGATGTACTTTGTGAGGAGGCTCATAGGCGCAAAGAGAAGGTGCAAGTTGGTCTCTTCTCTGTGGTTCACGCAGTCTGGGGCACGCAAATACCTCGAGAAAGATGAAGAACACAGATCAGAGCTCAATAGGAAGGATCAGAGGTCAAAGAAGAAATCCAAGGAAAAGAGAGAGAAAGATGAAAGAGATGAAGAAAATCAGAGCTCAATAGCATACCTCAAGATGAATAACACAGACCTCCTCTGTCTTCTTGGACCCTCGAGTGGTGGCTCAGCTGCTTCCTCCTCCGTCTTCTTAGACCCTCAAGTGGTGGCTCAGCAGCTGAATAAACCCTAGCGAGGGATGAGTGCGAAGAGAGGGCTACCCTAGCGAGGGATGAGGGTTTGGCTCTGGCTGTGAGCGGCGGTGCCAAGAGAGGGGTGGCTCAGCATGAGCGAAGAACATGAGAAGAAATCCTAGGGCAAAACTTTTATCGGGCGTGAAGTTTTAACCAAACTTTTAATTTCAAGTTCCAACCTTTTGGCCGGAACTTTTTTAACACACAACAATGGGAACATGAACAGTGTAGAGGAGTTCTCAAATTGACTTCCATTTTTTTACCAAACACAAAACATGAACAGTATTAGGTAAGTTCCAAGTTCCAGGAATACACTTCCTGCTATCAAACACGCCCTATAAGATGTTGAATAGAAATTGAAATATCTCTATGATATTTCAATTTAAACACCACCACCAGCACCACCACCCCAAAAAACACCCAAAAAAAAACCAAAACCTTATCTCTCACAACCAGCCTACAGCAGAGTAATACGGAATAATAGTCACATTGATCTTCATTGTGGACATGCTACATATTGATTTTTCCCTTTCTGGTAGGTCAGAAGAACATAGAATGCTACCCGGCTTGAAATACCTTGAGGCCAAAACAATCAGAACCAATCTTGAAAGACCATTGCTTTCATAGTCTTCCTCCCGCACCCCCCAACCCCAATAAACCTTCCAACATAGATTAAGGTCTTAGGGTAAAAGCGAAAAGTCAAATCCATATGTGAATCTATCGAACAGTGCAACTCGAAAAAACAGCGTGAAATCAAAGGTTTGAATCAGATCCATGGATTCCAATCCCTCAAATCTGTTTATTTTGAAATTCTAAAAAAAGAAAAATATCTTGATGGTCTTGCAAATACCCAAAACCCATGTACCATAAACCCCACAATTCACCAAATTGTCAAATCAAGGTAGAGCTCTTCTGCTTCAAAACCATTGGCAACAAGATTCCTGAAAATTTTCAACCGGTCCAACTCAAATCTAAGACCATGTTCAATCACCAGCTATGATATCAAATATTCCTTTATAGATCTCATTAGGGTCCAACCCTAGTTGAAAAAACCCACAACAAACCTGATAATCACCGTAAAACCAAAATTAGTAATCAGTTTCTCTTTGTTCATTTCTGACAAAATTCCTCAAGAATCCTAAACCATTCAAACCCTTACCTAAAACCCATGTTCAAAAACTGAAACAAATTGAAACTCTCTTCTCAAATCAACAAACCCACATACCAATTGTCATCTCAAAATCAGAACATAAAACCAGAAATGGTTTAGGATAATCTGTCTAACTCTTTTTAATTTTATGGCTTAAGGTAACCTCCCTCTTGCTCATCGATTTCATGGCTTGGGATAATCTTCTATCTACCATTTCTCTCTCTTCCTTCCTCATTAGTGTTTTCCACATATTTTAGATTTTCTGACTTGGAAGTCGAAAAAAGAAACCCAATATATGTGAATAATGGAATCAAACCCTATTTATGTTAATAAGGGAAGCCATGGGCCCTGGAATAAGCAAATAACAATAAAAAAAAGAGCCCCCATCCATCATTAGTATGAGCTTTATTCCGAAATAAAGAAAAGATAGAGAAAGAAGAAGATGCTCCATAAAAAAGAGTATGTACAAGTTCACCTCTGAGATCTACTGAAGTTGAGGAAGCCTGAAGAGAACTACACCGCTGTAACAAATGAATCCAAATGCTTAAAATGGTAGCTCTTCTATGCATAAAATACCACCCAATTGGAGTGGAAAATGAAGCCCAAAACGAGATGGAGAAAATGCTGGTACTGCTGGAGCTTCTGGGGAGGGGATGAGAAATCAAGGAGAGAGGTGAGCCCAGTGTTTGCAACAGTGAGGGGGTTAGAGAGGCAGAAGCCAGGAAGTTCAATTAAAAAAAACAAAGAGGAGTAAAGGGCAGCAAACTTTTCAATTAAAAAACCATGGTGGAGCTTATCCTAATGGGCGGAAAACTTCTCAATTCAAAAACCATGATGGAGCTTATCCTTTAGCATATATGTTCATGGAGTATATCCAGGTTACAAAGCATTTTGAGGATGTTCATAACCTGGTTATGAGCTCCAAAGCTCCACCCAAATAGCTTTTAGCCCTTTGTATCCCAGATATGAATTACCAGGTTTTTTATATGACAGGATCCAAACAGTCCATTAACGTTTTCACCTATGCCCCATAAGGGTTTAGGCATTCTATCAAAGCCATTTTGAAAATACCGAACACCACAAACATTTGGTATTTTTTACCACCAGGGCATGTTATTCATTCAGCTAGGTTATATAATCAAGAACCTACTAAACAAGGATGGCACAATGATTGTTGTGCCATTTTGCACTTCATATAAACGTGCTGCAATGGTCTAATAAGGGTGAAGACTTTAAACTTTCTTTTAACCCGTCCCAAGCCCAGGTAAAAGAGGTGGTTGCATTAGGTAGGCAGCCAGTATAAAACTGTCATATCTTATCATGAATCTCGAACCTATGTTATATGGTATGGCCATTGATAGGAGAGAATCGAGGAACAGGATTCATGTAGCTGACCCTAAATCGTTGGGATAAGGCTTGGATAATGATGATATAAAGGTGTTGCAAACAGCATATACTGCCCTTGTGAAGGTGCTGCAAACGGCTTGCCCTTGTGAAGGCACTGCAAACAGCATATATTGCCCTAGTGAAGGCGCTGCAAACAGCATGTATTGCCTTGTTTTCACATTTTTCTTTTTCGTTTACTGATTGTTGATGTTGTAATCACTTGTGTGATGCCTACATAGTTTCTCAACCATCTGGTTATGTATCATAGATTTCTTTAGCATTAGATTCATTAGGAAAATTCATTTGTATAAAATCAGGTCTTTTGCTTTTAAGGGATCTAGGGTCTTCTAGGTACAGTTCCTGCAACGTTAATAATTTGTATCCTAAAAGGATAATCACGAGAAAAGAAACATGGATTGCCCATGTACAAATGCTAAATAAAGGTGCTATGGTGCACCTCAAAAGATCTTAGTTTTTCCATGATACACAAACTCACAAGAGAGCACCATGATGACGATTAAACAACTTGGTGTGCATCTACTTCATGCTCATTTGGCTTGAAACAACAGAATAATAAATAAAGGAAAACTCAAAAGAATGAGTGCTTCAATTAAAATAGAACAATGATAAGCAGCTTGATGCATTGATCCTCATTAACCCAATTTCACATTTCTTTATGGGCTAAAACTATTGACCCAATTAGATATATTCACAGGAAATGATCAACACCTCTATTCATCAATTAATATGCAAACTTTCAAAGCATGTCAAGGCCCATCATTTCCTGCACAATGGAATGATCTCATACACAATGAATAGAGAATGCAAATGGCAATCACACATGAATTATAAGCACATTCACACAGAAAATACAAATACCAACCACATACACATGAATTATGTAAGGTTTAAGAACCCCATACACAAAAGCAACCATTTATTCATGGCCTTTTATAGTGTTGCGAGATTGCCATGACATTGAGCACATATCAGCTACATAATAGGTATCCCACCAAAAAATTAGTGGTTCAGTTATATATCAGCATAAATACAACTCTCACTGGGTCATCTTCTTTGGCCCAAGCAGCAGCTCTATACAATCACCACCCAAAGCTCCCAAAATCCATAATAGAGATAGAACAGTAGCAGAAAAGAGAGTGGCGGTTTACAATTTGATTTTTATTCTCCGGTTTGTTTAATCCCCAGGAATCTATGGACATTGTTGGGGCTTTATTCCACAGTTGAAGGCCTTCATCTACAGCTGAATTTCTGGAACTAAAAATAACTTAAAGATGGCCAAGTTTCATGAATAGAAGCATCTATAATACAGTAACCATAAGGAAATTCACAGTGGAGGGATTTTCAATGATAATTAAACAACAATGATGTGCTTACTGATTCAGCAAGCCACAAGAATGCCAAGAATTGAGCTGAGGTTTAAGGGGGGGGCCTACTTTCTTCCTTCCACGTAGGCCATTATCATGAAAGTTCGATTCTTTTCCAAGACACCCAATTTCTAGCACAGTCTGATAGTTTACTATCCTCCACCAAGATTCTTTGCAGTTTTGAAGAGTTCAGAATAAGAAATTCAATAGCTTCAGTCGATATCTTATGGCATTTTGCAATATCAAGGGTTTTTAGAGATTGGCAACTCTTAAACACAGAGAAAACCACATTATCAGTCAATCCTCGACAGCCGCGTAGCTTTATTTCCACCAAGCTTGGGCAGGAAACGAGCATCGACATCAATTCTTTGTCGACCAAGCCCTCGTTATAAGACAAATCCAATTTTTTTAGCAGTTTAAAATGCTGCCCCAAAGAAGTTAGTACCCCCAATTCTCTCTCTAAGACATCACAGTTTACAAGCACCAACTCCTCAAGCCTAGAACTTAAGGCTGGACCAAGGAGTTTGATTCCACAGCCACTTATCAAGCAGCAACTGTAAAGGCGAAGAATTCTCAATTCTCTGCAATTTTGTGCAATCACAGATAAACCCTCATCATCGAGATCAAGAGGAAGCCTCAAGTCAAGAATTTGCAGAGTTTTACATTGCCTAATGACCTGAAAAAGGCCTTCTCTATCTCCCCCATCATATAAAACCAGAGAAATCAATGACCCACAATTCTCTGCAACATGACGCAGCACTCTACCTGCTATAGTTCTACAAGTTCTCAGCTCAATTTCTCGAAGACCAGGTAAACAGTTAATGAAAGAAGAGGAAGCAGTATCTCCAGTTCCTGCACAGCTACAAAGCTGTAATTTTTGCAATTTCCTGCAACTTCTCCACAACCACCCAAGACCCAAATCTCCAGGGCCGATTCCAGTCAAGCAGAGCTTCTCCAATGGCAGGTTCACCTCTGCAAATTGATTGCCATGATCAAAGCCTGACCCAATTTGAAACCCAGCTCCTTTGCAATCGACATAAGTGACTGAAAGCTCCCTCAATGAACCAAACCCAATAAGCCACCGAAAACACAAAGGCCCAAAACCCAAAATCTTGAGAGAAGAGAGAGAAACACAGCCCGCGGCCAGAACCTCAAGGCTCGAAGGAGAAACAGGGCCAGCGAAGAAGCGGAGTTCCTTAAGGTAGGCACAATTATAGGCGACGGCGTGAAGAGCACAATCAGAAGCAATGGAGTTACAGGTCGATAGATCTTCAGGGACAATTCTCAGAGTGGTGAGGCGCGGGTAGTGAAAGAGAAGGGAAGAGAGAGAAAGTGGGGGATCAGGTAATCTTAAGCCAAGAGTGGTCTTGCTTCTTCGATGAATGGTGAGCCAGCGTTTACAAACCAGGCCGACGCTGTTGAGCTCAGAGAAGCTTTGCAAGCGACGAAGGATTTCTTCCAGGAGTTCGTCGCAGAGACCATTTTCAGAATCCATTGATAAAAAACTTGGTTCTGATAATGGTCGAGTGGGTTGAAATGGATTGCAGAAAGGGCATAGATGAAGTGAGGAAAGAGAGAGAGTGAGACAAACGCTACCCACCAAATGGGAATCCTAGAGAGAGAAAGAGAGCGGCTGGGGAGGCGAATGACCCCACCCACTTTCCTTTCTTTCCATTAACCGCCATTAAAAAGGAGAGAAGAGAGAGAGGAATGCCAATGGCCGGTAGGTGGCGTGAAGTCGAGAGAGAGCGGCGCGCCACTGGGTAGGTGGCGTGAAGTCTAGAGAGAGAGAAAGCGGCGGGCCACCTTTTACGACACTCCGGCTGGGTTACAGCGTGTCTATTTATTTTTCATTTTCATTATATAGGATGAGGTGTCTATAAGGTCTAATTTTATGAAAACAAAATACAGTGTCACCCCAATTCCTCGTCCTTTTGGTGACCAAAAATATCGATGTTTTAAAATCAATTTTCAACACCACAAATAAAATTTAAAATTTAAAAAATAATAAATTTGAAGACCTATAAACATTTATTTTTAAAACAAAATGGATGGTTAAGATAATTTGTTATAAGGTTTTATTAGGGTGCTCACACTTTAGAGCAATTTAGAATGCTATTTTACAAATTATGACTTAAAACCAACCCAACAAAATAGGTGCAATGAAATTGTATTAGGTATTTTCAAAAATATCTTTATGCTTTTTATTTTTAAGTTTTATATTTTCCATACACCTAAAAATTAAAAACATATCTTATGCCACATAAATCTTATATTTTATATCTTCTTATCTCCTAACTAACTTTATCCTCTTTAATCCATCCATTTGACTATAGAGATAAAACATAACGTGGCTCTACTCTTTTTATTGTAAGTGGAGATGGCATATTTTCCCAAATCCTGAATGTGGGTTTGGTTGGGCTGGACGCTCTAGCTAAAGGCGTGCTTGTTGAGGTCATGGCAAATGCTGCCAACAAGAGAGAGAGAGACATATGAAAAAGAGCTGATGTTGGGCTCCATGTTGGTAGAGATTGGGATTTCAATTTTTGGTTCCTTTGGTTAGGGTTTGTCTATATTTATATCTACGTTTAAAGTAGAGAAATTAATGGCAATGGTGGTATATGATTTTATGCACTTCTTTTCTTAGAAATGGAGATCAATGAGAGAAATTAATGTGGTATAGTGATTTTATGCACTTCGTTTTAGAGAGGAGATCAAAGGCAATGGTGGTACAATGATATTGTGCACTTTTTATTAGAGAGAGATCTCTGGCAATGATGATACGGATTCTATGCACCTTTTCTAAATAATTACACATGTTGAGAGAGAGAGGAGATGGAGGTCATGTATCCAATAAACCTATTTTAGGGAGAGAAGTAGCACAGAGAAAAAGGGCTTGGGGTGAGTCATACTGGGGAGAGAAAAAGAGGGAGACGATCGGCACATATATATGAAGAGAGATAGGATGGGTTAAAAAATAATCGTCATTCTTTCTTTAGATTAGAAAAAGTTGGTTAAAGAGAGTATCCGTGGATAAAGGGTTAGAAGATATAAAACATAAGATTTTTATGGTTTAAGATATATTTTTAATTTTTAAGTATATGGAGATATGAAATTTAAAAGTATGGGATATTGATATATATTCTTTAGAATTTATGCGCACTTCATAAATACATCAAATAATCGAATTGATTGCCTCGACCAATGTAGAAAAAATCGAACCAAAACAGCTAATCGGACATAGGGTTAAAAGCGGTTCAACTGGCCTAATCGGTACACCGTCTAGTTCAACCGACTTAACTAAGCAACTCCCCAGTGGTAAGAAAAGTGTTAAAATATATATAAATAAATCTAATAAAATATAAAAAGTATATTTAAAGCATGATTAAGCAAAACACATTCAAATTAAGTTGAAATTTAATGAAAAAATAGATTTTAAAGAATCGATTTGTACCCAGTGATATTTTTGAAATTTTTTGAAAAACATAGAAAAATGTAAAATTAATTATTAATGGCCAAAAGAATTCCTAATCTTTGCCAAAACGATGAAAAACATTAAAAATTGCATTACAAACAAAATCACTTATCTTTTGAGATTTTATATATTTAAAATACCTTGTAATGGTAAAACTGGGGAATTTGAACCGCCTGATTTTTCCTACATTGATTTTGACATTGATATATATATATATATATATATATATATATATATATATATAAAGACTTTTAAGTCCCAAAATAGTACATCTTGCAACATATTCTCTGGACTATCAATTTTTCGACTTGATTTGAATCATTTTTTAAGTTTAAAATCTTATAATTAAAGATAAAAAATACATTTTTGGGCCACCCTAAAAATTTTCGACACAAAAATTACATCTTATGACAAAGTTTGAAGGTGCACCTCATTTTGATTGATTAAGGTTGCAACCCTATACAAACCAAACCCTTCATTATATACTTACTTGTTCATTGGAAAGTAATAAAAAAAAAACAACCTATGAGCGAATTTTTATGTATTAGACCATAAATTCATGAAAAGTTAGGATTGTATGCAATGAGACTATTTACTTTTGATACAAAATAATCACAATTACATACAACCATCCAATGTGAAATTTGATAGTTTGCGTGCATCACAAAGTTTGAAAAAATTTCCTTTGACGTTTTGAGCTTTGTCAATAGAATAATTGCAGCCATCTAATTTTAGGAGCTTAGCTGATTAAAAAACGTTGATGCCACGGTGGTCTTTGATTGAGGCGCGAGAGCGCTTCATCTTTCTCATTGAGTCGAGTGCATCCAATGGTCAAAATTAATTGTGACTACTTTATACTAAAGATAAATGGTCTCATTATATACTTTTCGTTATTATAATATATGGGCAAACTTTCTATGCTTTACCTTGATAAATGGTCTCATTATATACTTTTCGTTATTATAATATATGGGCAAGCTTTCTATGCTTTACCTACAATATAAAACTTAAATATCTCCCCTTATCCAACCGTTCATTCTGAATGGATGGCTAAGACTGCTCCAATCACAATGTCACGTCTCTACACCATTTTATTTTTAATTTTTTTTTTATGAATTATTTTGACACCAAATTTTGGACGTTCAATTCTCTATTAAATTTTCACTAGCGAAAAATACAAAAAAAATATTTTCAATAAAGAAAATGACCAAAATACCCCTAAAAGTTTCAAGGGGTATTTTGATCATTATATTTTTTCAAAAAATTATTTTTAATATTTTTTATAGGTGTGCCCCAATGAGAAGATTGCACGTACCAAATTTTATATTCATACAATTTGTATAAATAAACTAAAAATAAAATACTTTGAGACATCGGATCTAAAATCAAACGGTGAATGGCTCTCTTGATCAAAATTGGATGGCTGAATGGTAGGGGAAGCCTACATCTTCTATGATGTATGGGAAGTACATAAACATTTCCTTTAATATATACCCACAATAGATGAACGTATAGAAATATTTCCTTTTAATATAAACCCACAGGAGATGAACTAATTGACCATATGCTCTTTTGAAACTATTCCAACTCAAACTCACATATTATTGTATTGGCATTTTAAAATTAAATCAAAAGATATGGATCATTAGTTAACCTTTTCAATCTTTTATAGGTAATTTAACAAATTTTCCTAAATCCATTATTGTCCAAATTCCACTGGACATGGTCTCCACGCTACCGTTGACCAGGTGACCACCGCTCCTTCCATTACTCTTTTGAAACTATTCCAACTCAAACTCATATAATATTTTATTGATATTTTAAAACATGTTAACTTTTTCAATATTTTATAGGTAATTTAATAAGTTTTTTTAAATTCATTATTGTCCAAATTCCACTGGACTTGGTCTTCAAGCTGCCACTGACGAGGTGACCAACTACTCCTACCTTTACTTCAATGGACCTTTTTTCTTCCCTTCTCCTTCGTACCTTGCAAATATTATACAACTATCTGCCCTAACTTTCTTCTTTCATTGCTTTTAAGGGGGGCAAAGCCTGTTAGGCTGAATCCTCTGGAATGGCTGGCTTTGGTATCAATTAGGAATGTGTACGCCACTCCACTGATGGAAAGATTCATACTCCCATTAGTAAACGGAGAACCAACCAAAGCCATATTCATCCAAAAATTTTGAATTTTTATTTATTTATATTTTTTACAAATCAAATTCACTTGAGATTTTGAAGATGTTTGCTTCTCAACAAAGCGTACCTAAAAAAATATACAGCATATAACAAATAATTAAAAAAGGATCCGGTTTCTATGCAGCCAAGCCCGCATATGTAGAAATAAAGGCCTCTTATTAAATCTATTTTTGAGATGGAATATGAAAAAATAAATCAAGTTTAAAAACTAAAAATTATAACCCTAATAAAAAAACATTTGGACCGTTAGTTTCCATTGTTTTTAAATGGAACACCTACTTACATCAATCTTTAAGATGGACACCTTACGCCTTCTGGTCCGTATATGTAGAAATGCAATCCAGTATGCAAGTAACAATTTCCATTAAAAAATGGTTAAAATGGGCGATGCAACCAGTTGAGGTAAGATAGACCCGGACAGCAACAAGTTGGTATTGGAAGGAATCACCGATGCTTTAATCTGCACAAGTGCTACTGCACAATTTTAGTGCACACTTGTTTCATCACTCCCAGCATTTATATATTGATAAAGGTTACAATTACTTACAACCATCCGATGTGAAATTTGATAGTTTCGATGTGTCACACAGTTTGAGAAAATTTATTTTGAATTTTGAATTTGGTCAACATAATAAATGCAGCAGCCCAATTTTACATTTAATAGTCAAAATTAATTGTAACCACCTTGTAGCAAAGGTAAATGATGTCACTGTATACTTTCTTTTTATCTATGTGCTCATAGATTCAATTTTCCCCCATTTTATAAAAAATGGTTTGATCGGGGGTTGCAACCCCATCAAAATAAGCAAAGCCTCACCTCCTAACTCATTGAAACTTGCAACTCAAGCACTAGAAGACCCTTTTAACGTCTCAGCTTGAACATTATGATTGTGAAAACAAATTAGAATTTCAAGCTCTAAAAATAGTATATATTGTACAAATTATCTAGACTATCCATTTTGCATCAAAAATAAGTATTCATAAATCCGCAAGATTTGTACAATTTTTTTAGTTTCAAACTTCATCATTAGTGTTTGAAAATGATTTTAGAGCCAACATAAGAGATTTTTGTTGCCGAAGTGCTTTCCGGACGAGGATTTGAGATGAAGCTTTATTTTGGTTTCATAAAGCCTAGGTCTTACATAAAACTTTCATTCATTTTATATTTCACCTCTCTCTAGTCTTATTCTCTCTCAAAAAAAAAAATACTGTGAAAATAATAATTCAACAAAAAAAAAACATCTCTCAAACCCTGCTGTTGTATGAGTCAATGTCAAAAAAACACTAACATATGCGTCAACAGCAGTAATTCAAGGAGGTTAACAATTCTTGCAACTTAACCAAATTGTTACATAGCTCATGCTCTATTATACGTGGATCTGCTTGCATTTGTGCAATTCATGTTAAAACAAACTACATAAGCTTCTCTCACCAGAAACACATGCAACATTGTGTTTCAACCACCAAAACACAGGATCATATTAAGGATGTAAGAGGACAATTAAGCATAATACCCAACAAGGAAGATGGACAAGAAGCAAGTAGAGATAAGTGGCACTATTCCAAGACCATAAATTTTCAACCCAGACCCAGAGATCACCCATATTGACCTCCTCAAAACCCTGTGACCAACCTTTTAGCAAGATAAATGAAGCAGGGGGAAAGCCAATCAACCCAAGTACCACATTGGAGACCATATGTAAGAGTTCCCCCAAGCCTGCACCTCTGTATATTTGCCTCAAAGGATGAACCATAAGACACATTGGAACCAAGAAAATTGCTCCAATCTGAGCAGTAGCGAAGTTTATAATTGACATCAGGCCTAATCCAATAGATGCAGCCCCAATCGTTAAGGCTTTGAGGATAGCCCACCCAGCATCATTAGAATGAAAGTAAGAAGAGAGAGAAATCCAGTAAAAGAAGAAGAAAGAGGGTATAGAAAGCGCAATCCAGATCAAGAAATTGGTCGTGGTGTTCGTGCATGAGGCTTGGTAGATCAGAGAGGGCAGTACTGAAATGATGGTTGCCCATAAGTGAACTGCAAAGACTAGTTTTGCAGCATGAATCCATTTCCATGACCCAACAGAGGGGAACGGGTTCTCTTGCGAAGCTTTGTAGCTTTTTTGCGTGTTGAAGGGGTCTGACTTCTGAACTAAGGCCTCTGAAGCTTTGCCAGAATAGAGTGCAGCAGCAAGTATGGGTAGGGGCATAACAAGCAACCCAAAAGGTATCATATAGACTCCGACCGAGACAAATTTACTCGGGGAGGTTAGAAAGTAGAGGAAAAAGGATTGATGGAACTTCTCAAGGAGGTTATTCACTGACCGGACTATTCCTTCAATCAACCTGCATTGCATTAAAAACATCATGATTCATAAAACTCAATCAGATATAGTCTAAATACTGATCTCGTAAAGTAATAGATTGCATAACCCAGCCATTCACAAGCAGAAGGCAGAAAATTTTGGAACTCCAAAAGCTCAGAACATAATTGTCATAATATAAACAAAAAAGATCTACTACTCAACTAACTTTCAGAAAAGAAGGTATCTCATCAAATTTGGAAACAGAAGATCATCTCATCAACGAATGCTAGGTTTCTTGAACACAAGATTCAAGAAAGGAAAGCATATAGCCATATAAATGGAATGTTACAGACTGATATTTATATAACACAAATACTTGACTACGTGTGTTTACTTTGACACTGTAGCCAGGCAATTAGTCTTTATTTCTCATCTCCAGCATAACAGAAATTGATTTCTCAAAGATTTTAGGACAGAAACTTCCAAACGTAATTTGTGCATAACATTATATATGATTAGATATCAAGACTAACCAGGTGTCCTAGGGATTCAGAGTTGGTGACAATATGAATTTCCAAATGGGAATTGCCCAGAAGCCATCAATTATTTATTTGCTTTTGAGAATAGCTAATCCTAAAGACAGGATTATTCTCTTTATGTTTTCAAGTACTGCTAATCCTATGTAGTTAATTCAAGTGGCCAATCTGGCACTCCTTGGTGGATGACTTTGGACAGTGGGAGAGAAGAATGGGGTCTTTTGCTTGATGTAATTCAAAGCAAATATGGTATGACTATGCTGCATTGGGAAGGGACAATATTAGGCACATGTGCGGAAGTGTTGGTAGCTTGGAAGGTTTATTGTAGCGTCCATGAGGAGTTTGGTATGTACATCAGATTTGTGATGGGGGATTCATGTAGTTAGGGTTTACTTCTTTTCTTTGTAGTTAGGGGTACATCATAGAAAATTGTAGGGTTTCTTGGCTTTAGATTTTGTAGAACTCTACAGGTATCTTGTTTTTTAGTTTTCTTGTTTGTTTTATTCTCTTTATCCCTCTTTTCTACAGCAAGTTATATCTCAGCCTTGAGATTCATACAGGATGATGATATCAAAAACATCTACTAATCTATTATGGGAGTACATGGTTAAAATATTTGAGAGTCCAAAATGCCTTGAAGAGAGTCATGGCAAATTAATATTTTTTTTGGATACTAAACAAAGAACCCTTGTCAACTTTGGTACAGATTGAGTTTCCAAGAATCAAGAATGTGAGGGTTCTCATTAGTCAAACGTACAGATTGAGTTTCTAAGTATCTGGGCCTCCTTTGTCCATGGGCCTTCTCCTCACATTCTCCATCACAAGAGGCTTCCCTAATGCCAATCTGGGGTCATGATATTCACTACACTCTCCATCAAGTTGGAGCATAAATATCATAAGCTTTCCAAATTGTCTTTTAGTCGAACTTGATTAGAAGCCTTGGTAAGTATATCTGCCAATTGATTATCAGAGCGTAAAGATGGAGTGCATTCTACTTTTGGAGTGACTTTTTTCTCTAAGTGTCAGCGACCTCAACATCTTGATTCTTTTATGGTATACAGGGTTTAAAGCCGTATAATTACCACTTGATTATCACAATCTAAAGGAATAGGAGTTGATACATAAACACCCATCTTTAAAGAAGAGAACGAAGCCAAAATAAATCATACGTAGCGCTTGCCATTGCTCAATACTCGGCTTCTACGAAGATCAGACTACAAGATTTTGTTTCTTCCTCTTCTATGTAACTGAATAACCACCCACTGTCATAAGGTAGCCAGTGTCGATCATCAATGAAGAGAACACCAGGGCCAACATGATCTGCATCACAAAAAATATTCTATATCAAGGTATAAAGTAGTCCATCTCCTAAAGCTGATTTTAAACATCGTAAAATGGTATAAACGGCCTTCAAGTAATGGCAGCATGGAGTGTGCATAAACTGACTTGCCAGCTTACTGCACACGTTGTGTATGGTGTATGATAGTCATATAGACAAGTCTACCAACCAATCTCTGATATACACCCAAATTAAATAGAGGCTCTAAGTGGTGATCATACAATTTGTGATTAACCTCCATGGGAGATTTGCTGGTTGGCTCTGAGCAGTCCTGTGTCATTGAGGAGATCACGAGTATACTTCCATTGAGACAAAGATTCCCTATTTAGACCTTGCCACCTCTATTCCAATGAAGTATTTCACCAAGTTCCTTGATGTCAAAACACTCCTCAAGAAATATCTAACTTATAAAATTTGTGATTATTATTTCCTGTGAGCACAATATCATCCACCTACATTGTTAGTATTGTCGTAAACCAAGAATTTCTTTTAACAAATACCAAGTGATCAAAAATGCTTCTAGCATATTGCCATACTGAATTTTCCAACCAAGCCTGAAGTAACTATTTCAGTCTATTAATAGTGTTTCTCAACTTGCAGACCTTCCTTTTCTCCACTCGAGTATAAACCTAGGTGGTAATACTATATACAAGTCTTGCAGATCTCCATGGAGAAAGGCATTTTTCATGAAATAGAGTGGTCATTTTTTGTTAGCTGCAATATATAAAAGTACTCGTACTCAATGTTCAAAAACCAAAGGCGGTCGCCTAGGCGGGGGCCCAAATTCTTGGGCAGCATGCATAATGTTGGGGCTCCAAACACTTGTGGACTGTTGGACCCCCTGCTTTTGTGTATAGAATATCATTTTTTTTTTGGTTTAATAAACATGATTGTATAGTTTTTTTGTATATAATTTTATTGTACTGAACGTAGTATCAAACTTAAAATAATGACTTTGAACTGTGAACAAAATAGCTAAAAGTAACATTAAAAGAATGAAAATCACTGGCCACAACTAGCAAATATGCTTATCCCAAAACTTGTGATATCCATTACATTTCACAACAGACAACTAACAAAAAAAAGTCAACTCGCAAAGGGCATAAGCTAACGAAAGTAGTCTACTAAATAACAAATATGATTAACTCAAGTATGAGTTTGAGTTTCATCAACATCATGTCCACATCCACGGCCAGTATTAAATGCACCTGAATCTGATGATGATGCTAAGCCATCATCATTAAAATTATCCACCTCCTCTTCCTAATGACCTTCTTCCCTTGCCTCCTCTGAGCCAGCCTCCTCCTCTATTGTCATCTTCCTCTTTGCCCTCTCCGTCCCCTTCCCCTTCCCCTTACTCTGGGTTTGAGATCTCGTAGTTCTCATAGGGCTCGATTGCATACCAGCTGCCTCATGTACTTAGGTCCATGTCAAGCTCCCTCCGTCGAATACAGGTCCGTTCTAAGCCTCCTCCTCGACTAATCATTCACTTGATTCATCCAAATCTTTCACGAGTATGGGGTCGAGTATTTGATGCCGCTCTAAATGGCACTCCTTCAGCTTCTAATCATAAAAAATGAAAAGTCCAAATCTGTGACTTTTGGTTGCTTAATGGAACTAACATCGGCCCAAATCGGTGAGCTTTGTTTGCCAAAAGCCATCTTTTGCAACCACTCCAAGCTCCCAAAAGAATCAGGGAGAATATCTTTTAGGTTCATGAGAAATCGAAAAGGTTGAAAAAAAATTTGATCTCTTGATAAATCTCAAAATCTTTGTTTTTAGAGAGTTTTTCACTTTTTCTCTCTCCAGAAATCACCAAAAGGGATTTGTGGGGCATTCTTGCCCCAACATCTTCCACACCCCACCCCCCACAAGGGGTAAATTCCCCCGCTAACAAAAGGCCTCGCTCTCACGTACCTACCACAATTCAAACTACTTCGGCCTCGTCCAAGGTGACACCTAGGCGCCCAGCGCATGCCCTATGTAGGTGCCTTGGGCACGCCCACCTAGAGCCCCCACCTAGGCAGATTGTCAGACAGGCAGCCTAGGCGGCCTAGCAGCTGACCTTTTCATCCTTGCTCGAACTTATTTCAATTATAATACAAGAGCACAAGTCTTATTCTAGTCAACCCCATATAACTATGTAAAACCTATTGGAAATAAATGGAACACTCTTTATTGCATTTGATAAACATAACTATCATTTATCCTTTATTTAGCCCTTGTTTATCTTATATCCCTAAATAAGGGAAGTATTGTTTATTTGTTGTCATTAAGGTGATTACTTAATGTTCTAAGAGGGGTAGAGGTCACAAGTGACCTCTAAGCCACTCACTTTACCTTTCTATCTCTCCATCTCTCACATTTCTCTCTCTCTCCCTCCTTCATCATCATCTTTGTTTTATTTTCTCTATTTCTCTCTAGATCCTACCAAATTGTTTTCTTCTCTACTTTAATATCAACTCGGTAGCACAGCCAGACGATCAGTAAGGAAGGTATTATAGCACATACTGTGTGTGTGCGTACCATCCTTCCAATCTTCCGTTTATTACAGTCGCCTTTCACTGGCCTCCCCCCTCACATAATTATACTCATTTGAGAAAGCGCAATTTGTCCTTCCCTAGCACGTGTACCTTTTGAAGTTTAAAGTAATTATGTAGGCCAAATAAAAACTCAAAAAACCTCCATTGCCTGATCTGCTTTTTAATGTCATCAACAGTGGGATTAATAAGCTGATAGTGGTCTACTTCCTCCCACATATGCCTCAGTTATCATCAATTGTAGAATTAATACACCGATAGTGGTCTAGTTCTTCCCACTTATATCTTAGCATCCCAAAATACTCTTCCACAGTCATTCACTATTTTTGAGATGAAACTGGTGAATCCTAGCTAGATCATCTCGGCACTTGTATGTCTTGGCTGCTACCCATATAGGCTTTGTAGTTCCGAGGAACATCAAATCCCTGTTGATACTTGACTGCAAGGAATGAGAAGCCACGTCATTACAGTCGGATTCTCACTTTCCCATTAAGCAGGATGGATCATCTATGGGAGGCTCTTTCACCTTCCCTATGATGCAACCCAATTTTCTTCGGCTTAACATTTTAGCAGGATGGGACCATTCAAAGTAGTTTGTCCCATTTAACAATTGTAGTGATCATCA